ATATTATATGTGAATGGGTTCTAGACAACATTTCTAGACCCATTTGCATGCGAGAAATTCGAATATCGTATTGGCGAGAGCAAAAAGTTACATGGTGAGGAGATAATCGTTATTTTTCAAAAAGTGAGTTTTTTGAGCTATGCTCAGTATTTTGCATTTTTCTCCGTGAAAACTGGGTCAAATCCAACAAATAAGGTGATATTCGTGATCAGCATGATATAAGCTATCGGAACATGTATCTAAAAAGAAAAAGAAAAATTTGTGGAAACTTTGAATTAGCGGCGCCTTAGTTCGTGCAAAACTCTATCGATCCCTCTACTTTCTAAGAGTTCCTTAATAATTCCTTAATAGTAAAAAAAAACGTATTATAAAACTCACTTTTAGTAGAAAAGCACCACTTTGCATGAGAAGATGACACATCGAGAAGATTTCTATATTTATGATGCGAAATAAAAGAGTTAAAGTAAAGATTTTAAATAATGTGAATTTGCAGAGAATTGAATGCTGTTTCAGAAAAATGCTTTTTAGCAATTACATAATTTCAGACATATTCTGTTATAGCAAATATGGTCAACACCAGAATACGGAATCCGTAATACAGCAAAACCCTCAAAATCCTTACATCCCTCAACTATGTACAAAATAGGGTCAACAAGAGAATACGGAATCCGTAATACTGCAGAACTATCGGACAGAGCGAGTGCTGGGATGACAAGAGAATGTAGCTATGTTCCGTAACAAGATTGAGCCTAGTTGTTTTTGAATCCGCACTGTGATGGGATTGTGACATCTCTGAAAATTTAATGCTGATTCCGAATATTTAATTCTTTTTGCAAAATATCATGCTCAAAAAAACGGCCTTATCGATGCTTGCCTTTTGTCTATTTCGTCTTTTGCAATTCGCGCAAAAGTGCTTCCACTTTCGCATTTCTTTTGCTAAAAAATTATTCGTTGAAAAACGTTTCGCTGATTTCTCTTTCCGCTGATCTGTTTTCTGCTATTTCATCATTTCGCTCAAAGTCCTTTGAATTAACTTTTTTCCGCTGTTCTCTGTTCGCTGAAAAATTTTCGCTATTTGTCCTTTCGCTTAACGAACACGATACCCTTAGATTATGCTTCTGCTTGTATATAGTCAAAAATAAGTCAATACATGCCTTGTTTTGGCCCTTTTACCTTCGCATGTAAATATTGGCAGTCTTGAGAACATTTTTTATCACGACATGTGTTGCTTGTACAATCTGTAACGGCGAAATGAGTCACGCCTTGTAAGCTTTGTGAGAAAGCGATTCTCTCTGTGTATGTTTCAAAAAGTTGGAGTTCTCAGGCCCCTCCTCTATTTCGTCGTTATGCATGATTGTATACTGTTTTTTATCAAAGATCATACCTAATTATATTCTTTTGGGATCTCTATACTAACAAGCCACAAAGAAAGAAGAAGCTCGGTGTGGTCCTTTTTCGCTTAGCTTGTATTAAGAAAATGCGACGAAGACACAAATGTTATCTCTTTAACTGGCTCCCTTTTATTGATAATCATGCTGTGCGCACTACTACAGATACGTGAGATGCTGGAACGGAGTCTTTTCTTCTTTTTCTTCTCTACCTGTTCTATGCTCTGTATCATTCTTTTTTCATTTTCTTTCTCCTTTTTCTGTTCTTTATTCGTCTCTTAGTATACCAGTATCATCATCTGCTCTCATTCCCACAGTAGTCAATTTATAAAATAACCGGCGTCTTATATCTATCCTCACCTTACTTTGTGTAAGCGCTTCTGAGCGTTAGAAATAAACATGCATAATCCAAAACAAAAGACGAAACCAACAACAACTAGCAGTTCTATAGGCAAAGACAACACCAAGCAATTGTCCAGCCCTTCCAAATGTACAAGTGCAGCAACACAATCATCACTCACTGCTCCAGCTGGACAACCTGATAACACCATCACAAGAGGACGTATTCTTCAAAATTTTCTTCTCATCTGGTTAGATACAGACATCGACGAATCAAACAACGATTGTCTTGATTCAATTACTTACCTCCGACGCATCGTCAATACCATTAATACTTTCACCGATCCTGATCAATGTATTGATTTTCTCACTGGAATCAAAGATGAAAAGGCATTCCTGATTGTGTCCGGTGCTTTTGGTCAACGCATAGTACCCCTCATTCATGATGCGTCTCAACTGGATTCGATCTATGTATTTTGCGGAGAAAAGTTATTGCATGAACAATGGACGGAAGACTGGTCGAAAGTGAAGGGTGTTTTCACACAAATCGCCCCCATTTGTGAATCACTCAAACGCGCCGCACGCCAATGTGATCAAGATTCTATCTCCGTCAATTTTCTTTCGATGAGTGACGTATCAAATCAAAATTTGGACCAACTCGACCAATCATTCATGTACACACAATTATTCAAAGAAATTTTACTCGAAATGGAAGATGATGAAGAATCCCTCGAAGACCTGGCCGCCTATGTTTGTGAGAAGTACGCAGACAACGACGGTGAGGTGAACAACATCACTAAGTTTAAACGAGAATATCATCTTAAATCCCCCATCTGGTGGTATACTTACGAGTGTTTTATCTATTCTATGCTCAATCGGGCTCTGCGCACTCAAGAAGTTGATACAATCATAAAAATGGGCTTTTTTATTCGAGATCTCCATCGACAAATGGAACATCTTCACTCGGAGCAATCCGGTGACCACCAAGTACGCTCATTCACTGTCTACCGAGGCCAAGGCTTGTCAAATGTGGACTTTGAAAAAATGATGAAAACAAAAGGAGGACTCATGTCTTTCAACAACTTCTTGTCGACAAGCATCGATCCAAACGTCGCTTCTCTCTTCGCTGATAGCAATCGAAGCAATCATGATTCGATCGGCATTCTCTTTGAAATGAGTATTGATACATCTATCTCATCGGCACCTTTTGCCTCTATTGACAATGTAAGCTATTTTCAGTCTGAAAAAGAGATTCTCTTCTCCATGCACACCATTTTTCGCATCGACGAGATTAAAAAAATCGACGACAACAATAGACTGTGGCAGGTGAAACTAACAATGACGAATGACAACGATCCGCAACTCTCCGCTCTCAACGAACGCATGCGACACGAGACGCAAGGATCCACAGGGTGGGATCGACTAGGCACCCTGTTGCTTAAATTGCATGAGTTTCATGAAGCCGAAGAAGTATACAATAAACTGTTCGATCAGACATCCGATGACGATCATAAAGCGAAACTGTATCACCAGTTTGGGTACATCAAGGATAATTTAGGCGATTATGACAAAGCACTTTCCCTCTACGAAAAAGCACTTCAAATCCAAAAAAAAAGCCTCCATCCAGATCATCCTGATTTGGCACAATCCTATAATAACATCGGTGTACTCTATGACAACATCAGAGAGTACTCAAAAAAAGTTTCGTATTACGAAAACGCATTTAAAATCCGCCAAAAAACGCTACCTCCAAATCATCCAGATTTGGCTCAATCATACAACCACATAGGTTCGCTGCATAACGATATGGCCGACTACGCAAAAGCGCTTTCGTATCACAAAAAGGCACTTCAAATTCAACAAAAATTCCTACCACTGCAAGAATACTGCAAGAATACTGGATTGTTGTAGATCACGCGGATGAGGTCACCTATGAGGACCTAATTTGTCGTTTTGTCCACGCGTGTTCTCGAGTGACATATTTACGGATGCTCACGCGAGCAAAACTGTTTCGATACGAGAACACGCGTGAACACTTTCATATGAAGAACAAGCCCTCGAAATCCGCCGAAAAGCTCTCCATCCAAATCATCCTGATCTGGCTGCATCATACCACCACATCGGATACATGTATAATAACATGGGTGAATACCCAAAAGCCCTTTCCTATGACGAAAAAGCACTTGAAATCCGGCAAAAAGCTCTACCTTCAAACCATCCCGATTTACTTACATCCTACCACGAAACCGCCTCCGCCTATCGTACTATCGGAGAGTACTTGAAAGCACTTTCATATGATGAAAAGGCTCTCGAAATCCGCCGAAACGCCCCCCCTCCTAATCATCCCGATTTGGCGACGTCGTACCACCATATCAGCCACGCTTACCGCACAATGGGCGACTACTCGAAAGCCCATTCATATGATCAAAAAGCACTCGAAATCCGTCGCAAAGCTCTCCCTCCAAATCATCCCGATCTGGCTGCATCATACCACCACATCGGGTACTTGTATACTATGATGGGTGAATACCCGAAAGCCCTTACCTGTGATCAAAAAGCACTCGAAATCTGTCGCAAAGCTCTCCCTCCAAATCATCCCGATCTGGCTACATCATACCACCACATCGGATACACGTATACTATGATGGGTGAATAGCCGAAAGCCCTTTCCTATGATCAAAACGCACTGGAAATGCAGCAACACAGTCTACCTGCAAATCATCCCGATTTGATTTTCTCCAATCACACTATCGCCTACGACTATCACGCCATAGGAGACTACTCAAAAGCACTGTCATATCAGGAAAAAGCACTTGAAATCTGCCGAAAGCTCTCCCCCCAAATCATCCCCATCTGGCTACATCGTACCACCATATCGGCTACGCTTACCACACCATGGGACACTATTCCAAAGCTCTTTCCTATAACCAAGCAGCCCTCGAAGTCCGCCACAAAGCTCTTCCTCCAAATCATCCCGATTTGGCTACATCATACTACCATATCGGTTACGCTTACCGCACTATGGGCGACTACTCGAAAGCCCTTTCCTATGATGAAAAGGCACTCGAAATGCAGCAAAACAGTCTACCTGCAAATCATCCCCATTTGGTTTTCTACAATCACACTATCGCCTACGACTATCACGCCATAGGAGACTACTCAAAAGCACTGTCATATCAGGGAAAAGCACTTGAAATCTGCCAAAAAGCTCTCCCTCCAAATCATCCCCATTTGGCTAGATCGTACCACCATATCGGCTATGCTTACCGCAACATGGGAGACTACTCGAAAGCTCTTTGCTATGATGAAAAAGCACTCGAAATGCGCCGCAAAGTTCTCCCTCCAAATCATCCCGATTTGGCTACATCGTACCACGATGTCGGCTACGCTTACCGCACTATGGGAGACTACTCGAAAGCCCTTTCCTATAATGAAAACGCCATCGAAATCTATCGAAAAGCTCTCCCACCAAATCATCCCGATTTGGCTGCATCGTACCACGAAATCGGCTACGCTTACCGCGCCATGGGCGACTACTCGAAAGCCCTTTCATATGCCCAAAAAGCACTCAGACTCCGACGCAAAGCTCTCCCTCCAAATCATCCCGATCTGGCTACATCATACCACCACATCGCATACATGTATACTATGATGGATGAATACCCGAAAGCCCTTTCCTATGATCAAAAAGCACTCGAAATGCAGCAAAACAGTCTACCTGCAAATCATCCCGATATGGTTTTCTCCAATCACAGTATCGCCTACAATTATCGCACGACAGGAGACTACCCAAAAGCACGGTCATATGGGGAAAAAGCACTTGAAATCTGCCAAAAAGCTCTCCCTCCAAATCATCCCGATTTGGCTACATGGTACCACGATGTCCGCAACACTTACCGCGCCATGGGCGACTACCCCAAAGCACTTTACTATGACGAAGAAGCCCTCGAAATCCGACGCAGAGCTCTTCCTCCAAATCATCCCGATTTGGCTGCATCGTACCACGATGTCGGCTACGCTTACCGAAATTAGGGGAATACTCGAAAGCACTTTGTTATCACGAGAAAGGACTGCAGATTCGGCAAATAGTTCTACCTGAAAATCATCCAGATTTAGCCGAATCGAACCACAAGATTGCCTCAACCTATCCGAAATTAGGGGAATACTCGAAAGCGCTTTGTTACCACGAGAAAGGACTGCAGATTCGGCAAATAGTTCTACCTGAAAATCATCCAGATTTAGCCGAATCGAACCACAAGATTGCCTCAACCTGTGAGAAATTAGGGGAATACTCGAAAGCACTTTGTTACCACGAGAAAGGACTGCAGATTCGGCAAATTGTTCTACCTGAAAATCATCCAGATTTAGCCGAATCGAACCACAAGATTGCCTCAACCTATCCGAAATTAGGGGAATGCTCGAAAGCACTTTGTTACCAAGAGAAAGGACTGCAGATTCGGGAAATTGTTCTCCCTGAAGATCATCCAGATTTAGCCGAATCGAACCACAAGATTGCCTCAACCTATGAGAAATTAGGGGAATGCTCGAAAGCACTTTGTTACCACGAGAAAGGACTGCAGATTCGGGAAATTGTTCTCCCTGAAAATCATCCAGATTTAGCCGAATCGAACCACCAGATTGCCTCAACCTATGAGAAATTAGGGGAATATTCGAAAGCACTTTGTTATCACGAGAAAGGACTGCAGATTCGGGAAATTGTTCTCCCTGAAGATCATCCAGATTTAGCCGAATCGAACCACAAGATTGCCTCAACCTATGAGAAATTAGGAGAATACGCGAAAGCACTTTGTTACTACCAAAAAGGGCTTGAGATCCGGCGAAATGTTCTATCTGAAAATCATTCAGATTTGGCCGAATCGGACGATAACAATGGTTCGAGTTGAGCGAAATTCCCGCAATACTCCGTAGCACTATGTTTCCACGGGAATTGTTATTTTATTGTCGTTTTATTGTTATTTTTAACACGATGTAGGCTGGACGAAGATGCGGCCGTCGCACCCGCTAGGTGTTCAATGACGATTGATCCGCTTCCTACCGTCAAAGAGTGCAAAGTATTCGTCTTTTTCCGTTCACTTTCGTTTGTAACCTACATTTTCACTAATAATGTGTTGATTAATCCTTTGGCTCCGGGCGACGCATAAATGCGTCTCGTTGCTATTATTGCATGATCGTAATAGCTGGAATTTACAAAATGCCATAAGGGCGTATCTTCTTGTTTTTCCGTTAGTTTTGCTGCTATGGAGCTTTCCGTAAACTGAATGCTGCTCCATGAGAAAATGTCATAAACAGCTCGGAGACGTCTCAATTTCTTGAGAAATGTTTGCTCTACACGATGGACTTATTTACAAAGAATTTCCGGATTGAACTCTGGCACTTGGTTTTCTGGGATTTGAGTTTTCCAGAGACCCCGATTTTAGGAGATTTGATGTAGCCTTTGTATACACCACCTGAGAGCCAAAATTCTTTCAGCTATTCAAATCCTTTTGCAAATTTATTCTAGCTATTATGATCATGCAATAGTTGCAACCAGACGCATTTATGCGTCGCCCGGAGCCAAAGGATTAATCAACACATTAGTAGGGAAAAAGAAGAATACTTTGCACTCTTTGAGGGTAGGAAGCGAATCGATCGTGCACAAGACTGCCTCAACCGATGAGAAATTAGGGGAATACTCGAAAGCACTTTGTTAACACGAGAAAGGACTGCAGATTCGGCAAATTGTTCTACCTGAAAACCATCCAGATTTAACCGGATCGAACCACAAGATTGCCTCAACCTATGAGATATTAGGTGAATACTCGAAAGCACTTTGTTACCACGAGAAAGGGCTGCACATTCGGCAAATTGTTCTACCTGAAAACCATCCAGATTTAGCCGAATTGAACCACAAGATTGCCTCAACCTATCCGAAATTAGGGGAATACTCGAAAGCGCTTTGTTATCACGAGAAAGGACTGCAGATTCGGCAAATAGTTCTACCTGAAAATGATCCAGATTTAGCCCAATCGAACCACAAGATTGCCTCAAACTATGAGAAATTAGGGGAAGGCTCGAACGCACTTTGTTACCACGAGAAAGGGCTGCAGATTCGGCAAAATGTTCTACCTGAAAATCATCCAAATTAAGCCGAATCGAACCACAAAATTGCCTCAACCTATGAGAAATTAGGGGAATACTCGAAAGCACTTTGTTATGCCTCAACTCGAATACCTCAACTCGAAAGCACCTTGTTACCACGAGAAAGGACTGCAGGTTCGATTGGGCTAAATTTGGATGATTTTCAGGTACAACATTCTGCGCGATCTCGAGTCTTTTCTCGTGGTAACAAAGTGCTTTCGAGTATTCCCCTAATATCTCATAAGTCGAGGCAATCTTGTGGTTCGATTCGGCTAAATCTGGATGATTATCAGGTAGAACAATTTGCCGAATCTGCAGTCCTTTCTCGTGGTAACTCCAGATCGCGCAGAATGTTGTACCTGAAAATCATCCAGATTTAGCCGAATCGTACCACAAGATTGCCTCAGCCTGTGAGAAATTAAGTAAATACTCGAGAGCACTTTGTTACCACGAGAAAGGCCTGCAGATTCAACAAATAGTTCTACCTGAATATCATCCAGATTTAGCCGAATCGTACCACAAGATTGCCTCAGCCTGTGAGAAATTAAGGGAATACTCGAGAGCACTTTGTTACCACGAGAAAGGACTGCAGATTCGGCAAATTGTTCTACCCGAACATCATCCAGATTTAGCCGAATCGAACCATAAGATTGCCTCAGCCTATGAGAAATTAGGGGAATACTCGAAAGCACTTTGTTACCACGAGAAAGGACTGCAGATTCGGCAAACAGTTCTGCCTGAAAATGATCCAGATTTAGCCGAATCGAACTACAAGATTGCCTCAAACTATGAGAAATTAGGGGAAGGCTCGAACGCACTTTGTTACCACGAGAAAGGGCTGCAGATTCGGCAAAATGTTCTACCTGAAAATCATCCAAATTAAGCCGAATCGAACCACAAGATTGCCTCAACCTATGAGAAATTAGGGGAATACTCGAAAGCGCTTTGTTACCACGAGAAAAAACTCGAGATCGCGCAGAATGTTGTACCTGAAAATCATCCAAATTAAGCCGAATCGAACCACAAGATTGCCTCAAACTATGAGAAATTAGAGGAAGGCTCGAACGCACTTTGTTACCACGAGAAAGGGCTGCAGATTCGGCAAATAGTTCTACCTGAAAATCATCCAGATTTAGCCGAATCGAACCATAAGATTGCCTCAACCTATGAGAAATTAGGGGAATACTCGAAAGCACTTTGTTACCACGAGAAAGGACTGCGGATTCGGCAAATAGTTCTACCTGAAAATCATCCAGATTTAGCCGAATCGAACCATAAGATTGCCTCAACCTATGAGAAATTAAGGGAATACTCGAGAGCACTTTGTTACCACGAGAAAGGACTGCAGATTCGACAAATAGTTCTACCTGAATATCATCCAGATTTAGCCGAATCGTACCACAAGATTGCCTCAGCCCGTGAGAAATTAAGGGAATACTCGAGAGCACTTTGTTACCACAAGAAAGGACTGCAGATTCAACAAATAGTTCTACCTGAATATCATCCAGATTTAGCCGAATCGTACCACAAGATTGCCTCAGCCTGTGAGAAATTAAGGGAATACTCGAAAGCACTTTGTTACCACGAGAAAGGACTGCAGATTCGGCAAATTCTTCTACCTGAAAATCATCCACATTTAGCCGAATCGAACCACAAGATTGCCTCAACCTATCCGAAATTAAAGGAATACTCGAAAACGCTTTGTTATCACGAGAAAGGACTGCAGATTCGGCAAATAGTTCGACCTGAAAATCATCCAGATTTAGCCGAATCGAACCATAAGATTGCCTCAACCTATGAGAAATTAGGGGAATACTGGAAAGCACTTTGTTACCACGAAAAAAGACTCGAGATCGCGCAGAATGTTGTACCTGAAAATCATCCAAATTAAGCCGAATCGAACCACAAGATTGCCTCAAACTATGAGAAATTAGGGGAAGGCTCGAAAGCACTTTGTTACCACGAGAAAGGACTGCAGATTCGGCTAATTGTTCTACCTGATAATGAT